TCCATAATGGATGGTGAAGACATTTGTTCTTTGACTAACCTAAACTTAGTATGAAGAAAGGAATAATAAGATGTAAATATTGTACCAACTAGTCATGGTTGAGATGCTCTCCCATCCCTATTAACTTATTTTCATCAGTCATAGGTGGAAGAAGCTAGCTGCTTTTCATTTTCTAATTTCCTTTAACCGTGCACTGCTTCCACCATCTGGGACTGAGCCTAGGTGGATAAGGACAGTGAGGTGGTAGCAGATTTTCTTGGGCTTCATCTTGAGTGACTTGATCCATGTAACATTAACTTGTTCCAAGAGGAGGAAAGTTTTTAAGACACTATTTTATTTACAAAAAATGATTAAATCCTCCCTACTTTTGATATGTAATAATTAAAAGTTTATTAACTCAGAAAGACTACTCCAGAAATTGGCAAGTGGTTACTTCAGGAAGGAGAATTGTCTGGCTAAGGGTGTAGGGGTTGGGAGAATTATTTTTATTGTATATCCCTTTGGACCAGTTTGATTTTGTACATATGCATTTGTTAGCCCATTCAAAATATATATATATGAGTTTCTAGAAAATCTAATTCAAGGATAAAAACAAAATATGAACTTTATTTCTCAACATAAGCTTTTTCAACGTCAAGACACTTTTGTAAGCAATGATAGAACCTTTTTTTTTTTTTCTAAGACACAGTCTCATTCTATTATCCTGGCTGGAGTGCAGTGGCGCAAAGTCTGCACACTGCAACCTCCACCTCCCAGGTTCAAGTGATTCTCATGCCTCAGCCTCCAGAGTAGCTGGGATTACAGGCGCACACCATTACCCTCAGCTCATTTTTGGATTTTTAGTAGAGGCGAGGTTTCACCATGTTGGCCAGGCTGGTCTGAAACTCCTGACCTCAGGTTAGCCACCTGCCTTGGCCTCTCAAAGTGCTGGGATTACAGGCGTGAGCCACCACGGCTGGTCTGGAGTAAATATTTATATAGATATAATTAGATCTTAAATTCTCAGTACTTTTTAAAATGAGTTGTGGTCTGCCCCCTCCCCAACACACAAATTAAACATAAAAAGGAACATATAAAGGAAGCAAGTTTTCGTCTTCCACTTAGGCTGTAGAACACCAAAAGCAATGTCACTCCCACCCTAACAATAAGAAACAGCCACATCAACTACAAAAAAACTTGAATTCATTGGAAAGCTACCTTACAGTAGTATGAACTCCAAAGAAAGACAAGCCCCTCCAGGAGATATGAGAGGTGAACACCAGCTCTCCTGTGTCAGAGCATGTGAAGAAGAGATATTGGGTGCCCTTACAAGCAGTTAAGAAAAATTAAAGTAAAAATTTTAGTGATGTGTTAAAGGTAAGTGAAGGCTATTAGCATGAGACTATGGGGCCCCTCAAATCCACAGACACAAAGGGAATTCATATTCACTTGCAGGATTGTCTTAATAGATGTCTACTGCATACTCACAACAAAGACTGGAGCCAGGGTGAGGGACCAGACAGAGCCTCCCTCAGTGGTACAGACCTGGAGAAGGCCACCACTATTAAGGGAAAAGCATGAACCCCTCCCTCTGCAATCTTTCTCTCCTGGGGAAGGAGTACCAAACTCCATCTGCCCAAGAGCACATGAGAAGACCGGCTGTACCTAGGAAAAGTGTAATAGAAAAATACCCTATAAACCTGAGAGAGGAGCAAGAAAAACTCCTCATCCAGGATCTTATACCAGTATCATTAGAAGACTCTACTACTGTGAGAAGGATAATACCACTGAGAGAGACCCAACCATGATATATAAATATAGGATTAAGCCCAAAATGGGACAATAAAAAAACAAATTCTGCCCGCCATCTGACTAGCACTCTTCTGATAAAAGAGGGAAAAGTGCATAGAGAAGGACCCCTCTGAGGTACCAATACACAGGGAAGACTGAAAGGCTGGAGCAAGTACATTAAAGAAAAACCTTCCAGGGCCTCAGTCACCACTCTAGGCACAGAATTAAAGAAATTGAAGCTAGTAGTACACTGAAGGCAATTACGGTAACAACAAACCCAAAACTAGCTCAGCTCCTGGTTAAACTGACTAAACCCAAAAGACATATTCATTTCCAAGCATAAATCCATTTTGGTCTCAGCCTACTATTTTACATGTGAGATCCAGCATTCAGTCAAAAACTAACACACACACACACACACACACACACACACACACACACCCCCCACAATCAGATTGAGAGATGACCCAGGTTTTCAAATTATCAGAGATTTAAAACAACTATGATTGATATGTTAAAGTCTAGTAGAAAAGGTGGAAAACATGCATGAACAGATGGGACATTTCAGCAGAAAGAAGGAAGCTATAAGAAATAGGCAAACAGAAATGCTAGAAATTAAAAACATAAAAGATGCTGAAGTAGATAATGGCCACTAAAAGCTCATCATTAGATTCAATGCAACTAGGAAAAGAATCAGGGAAGTGGAAGACAGGTCAAAAGAAAGTACCCAAAGTAAAACACAAACAGAAATAAAGAGAGGAAAAAACTCTTTTCTCTCTCTTTTTTAAGAGACAATAGTTCTATAATTTCTGAAACTAAATTCCTAGTTTAAAAATCTGACAAAAAACTCCAGGCTCAGATAGCTTTATTGATAAATTCTACCAAACATTGAAAAAAAAAATCAATTCTATACAAACTATTCTAGAAAAGAGAAAGAAGGGAATACTTCCCAATTCATTTTATGAAGTTAGTGTAACCTCAATTCTAAAACTGGACAGAAAACTCTTTTTTCTCTCGCTTTTCCCTCAATGGTGGTGGCCTTCTTCAGGTCTATACCACTGAGGGAGGCTCTATCTGGTCCCTCACCCTGCCTACAGTCTTTCTTGTGAGCATGACAGTAGACAATCCTGCATGTAAGTGTGAATTTTCTGTGGATCTCTTGCATCCAAGAGATAAGGGGCACTATCAAACAATTTAACAAATATAATTGGAATCCCAGAAGGAGAAGAGAAAAAGAATGGGACAGAAGAAATATTTTAAAAGATAATGGCTGGCCGGGCACAGTGGCTCATGCTTGTAATCTCAGTACTCTGGGAGGCCAAGGCGGAGGGATAACGAGGTCAGGAGATTGAGACTATCCTGGCCAACATGGTGAAATCCTGTCTCTACTAAAATACAAAAAGTTAACCAGGCATGGTGGCGCATACCTGTAGTCCCAGCTGCTCGGAAGGCTGAGGCAGGAGATTCGCTTGAACCCAGGAGGTGGAGGTTGCAGTGAGCAGAGATCATATCATTGCACTCCAGCCTAGGTGACAGAGTGAGACTCCATCTCAAATAAATAAATAAAATAAAATATAATGGCCAAAAATTACCCAGACTTAACCACATCAAAAGCACAGATCAAGAAGCTCAGAAGCCCAAGCAGAAAAATTCCAAAATATCACCTAAACACAACATATTTAAATTGCTAAAAACCAAAAATAAAGATAACATCTAAAAGGCAGCCATAAAGAGGAATTCACAAAGAAAATATGTAAAAATATTTTTGAATGAAAATAAAATACAACATATAAAAATCCATGGGACACAGCTAAAATGGTGATTAGAAAGCAATTTATAAGATTAAGTAATTAGATTAGAAAAGAAATGTCTCAGATCAAAACCTGATATAAGGTACCACCTTAAGAAACCAGAAAAAGAATAAATCAACTTAAGTAAACAAAAGAAAGGAAAAAATAAAGATATGAGAAGAAATTAAAAACAGAAAGACAATAGAAAAAAAATTAATGAAACCAAAAGCTGGATCTTTCAATACAATTGATAACCTCTATCAGAAAGAGGGGCGGGGGAGAGAAGAAAGAAAGAAAGAAAAGAAA